ATATATGTATGTATTTATGTACAAGACACTTGTAATTGTGCGCGTGCGTCGTGGTTTTATTTATTGTTCTAGCATTTTACGCATGATTTCTCATTTTTAATTTAATATTTTCTATTTTAATTTATTTCAATTGATTAAGTGAATTGTCGATTTGAATTAATTGTGTATTTGTCGATGGTTTTCTTTTTTATTTTATTTTCTTTTATTTTAGAGAGAAAGAGAGATAGTTAATGATAGGAGAGAAATCACACGTTTGCTAAAATAAAAACCGATGTGACAAATTCAGTGATATATATATATATATATAGCTTGGTCAAGTGGAGGAGACCCTTTTCGGAGGATGCTCGTAGATGCGTTCGCAAATTACATACGCTCGGTGCTTGAAATTTCATTATTTATAAATGAAAAATAATAATAATAAAAAAATAATGATAATAATAATTATTATTATTATTATAACGATATTATGTTTAGATATATGTATTAGAAAATGAACACACACGCACGTGTGTTTTTGGAATTTGTTTTTTAATCTTAAATTGATTTATTTTTATTCCAAACTTTTTTAAATATTGTACGATCATAGTTTGTTTTTCATCCTTGAAGGAATTTCAGCTAATTTGTTGTTAGAACGAATGTTCAATTTATTTTTCTTTTTATTTTCTTTTAAAAAATTCAATCATTTGCGTTACTTGATTTTTCTGTTAGTTAGTTTAGTTATTTAGTTTAATAGTTAATATTTAGTTAAATATTAATTACTTAGTTTAATATTTAATACTTAGTTTAAAATATTGAAGTAAATGTAAAAATTGTTAATGTAAAATGTTATTTGTTAAATGTAATTAATAAATTACATTTATATAAGTACGTATAGTAATAATAATATAAGTATTTATATATTATAATTATTATATATTATGTAATTATTATTTATATATTAATAATAATTAAGTTGTTATATATTATATAAGTTTTATTTATTTTTATATAATATATATGTTATACAAAAGAATATATTAATTTATAAAAATATGTAAATGTTTCCAGTTTTAGTTTAATATTAGTTAAAAAAAAAAAAAACTAAAATTTAGTTCACAATTTTAATTAGAAATTTAGTTTAAAATATTACATTCAATATAAATTGTTAATTTAAAATATTGTGTGTTTGTTAATTTTAATTAATAAATTACATTTAATATTTAATTTATTTATTTATTTATTTTTTAATATACTGTAGTATAAATTATTTATTTTTGTTATATAAAAGAACATATTAATTTATAAAAATGCGTGAGTATTTCCAGATAAATATTATTATCGTAAGTTACTACAAATTGCACGTTTTAAGTTCGTAATTTTTTAGTTCTTTTTTTATTTCTTTTTATTGTTCTTTTCATGAAGAGTGCATTTTTTCGAAAAGAAAAACTTAATGACTTTTATAGTAAAGGAACGATTAAGGTCGATGTCTGACTATAAGAAACGACGAGGATTACGTTCTAACCTTTTTCAACATATCAGAAGTAATTAAAGAGAGAAACACGACTAAAGGTACTACTAAGGTTTTATCTCTTCTTACTTTTTCGACTAAACTAATCGACGAACTTGACCGAGTTAACTTTCTCGTGTCTACGACATTTGTGAATTTCCTTTTTTTTTTTTTTAGATAGAAATACCTTTATTCTACTACTATTTCTTTCTTATTCTTTTAATCTGTATATTATCTTATCTTCCATTTGTTCTTCCGTTTCTACTTCGTCACCTTGCGTTCTTATAAACTTTTATCTTTGGCTCATTAAAACAAAACAAAAAATAGAAACAAATTCTTTATCTATCAAATTTACTGTTTTCTCGAAATATTTTACTAATTTCATTTATCTCATTCTTCATTCTCATTCATCATATCTCATTCATTTTCTCATTTCTTCGTATCGTAGAAATTGATTATTATTTTATTTTTTTTTTTAATTTAAATTTCTAACATACAATTATAACACACTTTTATTTTATTTCCTATTTTTATTCTTTACCTATACTTTCAAATGATCTATGATTTTTGTTATTTTATTTTGTTCATAAATAATTATTCGTAAAAAAAAAAATCAAATTAAATGGAAAACAAAATAGAAAATTTAAAACCCTTTGAAGTTTTTATATATTCCTATTTTATTTTAAATTTAAAAATGATTATCTACTTGATAATAAAAAGTAATTCATATTTGTATGATGATTAGTTATAAACGAACATATATATGCGACGTATGTAAAATAACATACATATATATTCAGTAAGAACCCGAATATAATTCGTCGACTAATTAGAAGATTAATTAATTATTCGCAGAATAGGTATCTCGTGAGTCAAGTTACGAATAGTAACCGCTCGTTTGCTTTAGAGTGACGTTAATTATTCCTTTTTTGGTTTACGCATTCTCGCTTACTCGTTTCAGAGTACACGAGTGTCTCCGAAATAGAATTGTGTATTATAAATGATTCGTTCGTTGAGAATATTCTCCCCTGTGTTTTTACATTTCTCTCTCTTTTTTTTTTTTTTTTGTATTTTTTCTCATTTTTTTTTTTTTGTATTTTTAAATATACACCACCGACCCCTTTCTTATTAGTTCGTACAATTTGTAGTAACATTTAAAAAAATAATTCTAATTAAAACGTCAAACACCAACGATTCATAACTTTAATATTTCCAAACCGACATACGTCATTCTCAAATGTTTTATTTAACATTTTTAAATATATTATTATTAAAATTAATAATTAACATTCGTTCAAACGCTTAGCCTTGTTCCCATTGTGACGTGCAATAAATTTTGTTTTTATATTTTTTTGTTTTTTTTTTTTATTTTTTTATTTTACGTGTCACACTTGATTGTACAATCCTACACGCGCGTTCCTTCTTGTTATTTTAATATTAAATTCATTTGGTGGTTAAAAATTTAATATTTTAATTCAGAAATAAAATACAAAAGAAAGTCAAATGATAGAAAAAATATATATACCAATTATATTTGTATAACCAATTTTGTTTGGAAAATATATATATATATACATTTTTAGTATATACTGGTTATACAAATATAATTTGTATAATTATTATATAATAATAATATTAATATAATAATTATTTTTATTACCACAATATATATTAAATTATTATATAATAATTATATATAAAATAAATAAATTATTATATAATAATTTAATATATATTAGTAATACAATTACAATATTAATTTGTATAACCAATTTTGTTTGGAAAAAAAATTTGAATTTACATGTTAATATAACGTTATAATAATAATAATAATTATTATTATTATTAGTATTGGATACGATAAAAAGAAGAAATGAAAAGTAATAAAACAAGGTAAGAAAATATTAAAAAAATAAAAATAATAAAATAAAATAAGAAAAAATGAACAAATATAGTGAGAGCGAGTGAATTGTAACGAGTGAAGGAGAAAGAGATGATGAGAGTTAGTGACTCTCCTTCCTTCATATTGAATTTGACCGATCGTGTGTCGGTGAGCGTGTGTAGTGGCACGTGACGGACAGATAGATAGATAGATAGAAAGATAGATAGAAAGATAGGTAGGTAGATTAACAGATAAATGGTTTAAGATGGGTTGGATAAATTAGAATGAGAGAGATAAAAATGATGATGGAAAAGGTTTCTTCAATGTATGTATATATGTTAATCTATGTGTTTATGTATATATAAAAATACAATAAAATATATTTCAACTTATTCGTTGAAAAAATAAAATAATAATAATAATAATAATAATATAGGAAAAATGAGACGATTTGTGAATTTGTTTTTTAGTGTGTGTGATTTTAAATTATATGGATGGATGGTGTAGGAGTAAAATGGGGAAATGTTTTAATAATAATGTTAATATCTTCGTGTTAAGTTAAATTAGTTGATTGTGTCTATGTAGTGTAATGTGTTTTTTCTTCTTATTTTATATAGATATATATATATATGTGTAAGTTAAAAATATTTGAATTATTATTATACTATGCACGCATAAGTTTCTAAGCAGAGAATGTATTTCGAGTTTGTCTAACAAGGAAACATCTTTGAGACTTTCGTATACGATTTTGATGATGTACTTTGTAAGATTTAAGATAAAACATTACAAGTATAATAAGGAAAGATATTTAATATATACATATATATTATAATATTAATAATAATATATTTAATATTTTTAAATTATATTTTTATGGTACTGATAAGTATATTGTCTTTTAAAATTGGTTTCTTCAAATTTGATTATTATTTTATTTTTAATAAATTTCAATTAAAATAAAAGAATAGATTTATTAATCTATTAAATTATTTTTTTTACATTTGGATTTTTTTCAAGGTTCGTCATAGTCGTAGATGAATACCTCATGGATGTTTCTTGTTAGAAATTAATTGAATCTTTTTAATAAAGATTCGAATATTCGATTTACAACAATCGTCTTCCATGGAAATGGAAATATTTTTATATTGTAAAAGAAAATTAAGAAAAGTATTATTTATTATAATTAATATTATATAATATAGTAATATTACAGATATATGGGCCGCTTATTTTGAAAGTGGCCCATCTCCATTTATGTTCGAATTGAGATATTGAAGGGTTTGCGTTTCAATGCAAAAAAAAAAAAAAAAAGAAAAATAGAAAACCCCATAAAAAATCATCATGGAAGTCGAGTGTTGTATTTTCGAAAATATCGTTGTAGAGGTGTGCGCGTCCTATCGAGGTCCTGCGTGTGAAGAGCATAATCGTGATTAGATTTTAACCAATAAGAAGAGTTCTCGTCTAGTTGATGAAACTCTTCGAAAGTATTTTTTTTGTTTTTTATGATTCTAATTTTCTTTTCTTTATCTCATTTATCTTCTTTTTCTCTATTTTTTTTTTTTTTTTTTAATATTAATGATAATTATAATCGCACGTGTGTTTTTTATATTTGTCTCGCCATTGTATACTTACAGCTCTCGATCTCGATATGACATAGTTGACGATCCATCGGGAAGTATTGTAAGTTCATTGGACACGATGCCGTAATCGTTAAACTGTAACAAATTTGTATTCGTATTATTAATAAATTTCATTTAATATATTTTTCTTTTTTTCTTTTTCAAAGTCTGATAGTCTAACAGGCTGACAGTCTGACTAGACTGACAAGTCTTATCGTTTTAATTTATAAAATTACTTATATATATATATATATATATATATGCAACATGTTAAATAAAAAAAGGATAGCACAGAAGGGTCAAAATATTTTAATAAAATTATTCAATAGTAAAATTATATATATAGGAACATGTTAAATAGAAAAAAAAAAGAAAGAGGTAACTTGGTAAAGTGAAAACATTTAAATAAAACAAATTACACAAGTTAAAAGTAAAACCTTCGAAAAAGCAAGTTTTTTGAAAAACTGAGACGAGTGCATAGCATCAGGAGTAAGATAATTTATTATATAATATTATTTTTACTTTATTTTGTAATTATTTATTTAATAATTAGAAAAATAATAGAAGAATTAATTGATCGTCAAATTATCTTCACTTAAATTATGTTAAAAATTTTAATTGTTTTGCTTTTTCGTCGCATCCGTTTTCAAATCACCCACATTCTAATTAAATTTACACTTCAATAATTCGACAGTAGAAAAATAATAAAACCTACCATTAGAAAAATACTATAAGACAGATGAAGTATAATAATTATAGGAAGTAACAAGACTAGTCAAGTTAGGTATGCATGGTTGCTGTGAATATAGGTGGTGGTATTAATAACGAAGGACTCTTGGGTGTCTGAAAGAGGGTTGAATGAGAGAGAGAGAGAGAGAGAGAGAGAGAGAGAGAGAATTATAGAGATAGAGTGAAACGATATCTACGAGGAGTAGCAGGGATGAAGAAGAAGAGGAATATAGGCAGGTTAGTACGAGACAGGGGGAAACAAATTTGTCCTGGTTGGTACAATTGGTCCCCAAAGTGTACGACAGGTCATTTCGAACGGACGATAGAAGAGTGTAGGAAAAGGTAAAGGGATGGGTAAGAGAGGGGACTGGATAGGAAGGAGAACCTGTGCATTTGGAAAGCTCAAGGGAGTTTAGGGAATCTCCTGGTATCTCGAGGACGCACACCTAGGATCGTTCACCTAACTACTACGATGGAGACTAGAAGCTTTAATAGCCAATCGAAACGAATCGATTCAATTAATCCTAGACGAATACTTTCTCTAAGGAATCATAGTTCTAAAATCTTTTATCTTCTCACTTAGATAGGTCCTATTTTTTATTATTTATTTATTTATTTGTTTTTGTGTATTTAATCTTATTTTTGAAGTGAAAACTTCTTTAGAATGGGAGTGATCTGAAAAGTAAATAAACGGAAACGGAGCTATGCAACGAAGCTATAAAAAGGTTGCCATACTAAATAATGAGAGAAAAAGAGACAAACATAGGATTTAGACTGCGAGGAAATGAGACGAAATATAGCTATACAGTTTTTCCTATTAGAAAATTTATACTAATTTTTCAATAAAATAGAAAAGTTTGTAAATACAAGAAACTCGATTACGAGGCTTTTTTACGAGGCTTGTTTACGAGACTCTTCTATGAGGCCTAATTAAACAAACCCTACGAACTTATCGGAAAGACCCTACGGACTTATCGGAA